TGGGTTTTTTCTCGGTTTTCGGCTGATATAATGATCGTCTTCGTTTCAATAAGTATAAATATGTAATTCTATTTCTGTCCGCCATCTTTAAAATACACCGTCGTAAATAGAAAGTAGAGGTGCCGTTTCTCGATGGGCACGGTGCCCATTATCAAAGTGTGTCTACAAAATAATTGTCGTGTAAACGAGTAAATAGCGAGATGGGAGTTTCGGCACGGTGCCCATTTTCAGGGGTGCCGTGCCCAAAACGCTTGTCGTGTAAACCGGCCTATATAATAATAAATTTGTTGGGATATTTTAGTGAAACCTATACCTGTATATTTGATGCAAGAAGTCAAAGACCTCGTTGTAGTAGTCTAGGAATGGACTAACGCCATCCATCATACTGAGGTATTCAATCACCCAGGGTAGTGTCAGTACCAGTCTCTGCTCAGACCGTGCCTTTCTCAGGTAAAACATTACATCTACTTGTTGTGTGACCTATCATGAAAAATAATTGGTAAGCTTAATTCCAAAAATTGCAGAAAATAAAAGGATCGGGCATTCATGGTTCTTATCTAACCAGATATCTTTTAGAGATCTTGAAACAATATTGGAAGCTTCTGCTTTTTGTTACCAAACCTCATCTCTAGAGATCAATGAGTAAATTTATCCTAAATCAGACCTAATACACAGACCCATTCGTGAAATTCTCCAACGTGCAGAGAGGAAACCACTGGACACATTCTGTCCGACCTAAGTGAAACTGAGGTTTACTGTTTGTCCGAGTGAGTTGGTGTCCGACCTAAATGTAGTTTTGTCCAACGTGAATCAAAATCTATCCTAGAGGCTTGTATGTTAAATGGAGAGTCAAAGTAATGTATAAAAAGTGAACTGGAAATGTGTAATCAAGTGGGACTGTGTTTTCAACGTGGGATTCGGAAATACATTGTCAAGATTCAAAGGATTTTTCCAAATTGTGCTGATATTAAATTTAGTCTGCATTCATACTTATTTCCAACCAAACTGAAGTCAAAGTCATCGGACATCCATCGGACATCACAATACATATGTCGGACTCAAAGTCATAGAACATTCTCTGACCGATATTTTAAGGCCTGAATACATCACACACCTGATTTCTGGCAGATATTAACGTGTCCTTGACTGATGTTGGAAAATCTGCAGCATTATGATAAGGAGAAAAGACGAGGAAACCGAGAAATTTTGCCAACGTTCTTAAGGTGATTAAACATGAAGCAAATTTCATTTGAAGTTTACTGCTTTTGTCCTCCTCTGCGACTGAGTTATCAAGATCTTCATCTAATGATATGCTGTTCAACTGAACGAAAAATTATATGTATTATGGTAAATGTCAAATCACAAAATTTAACATTGTTGTAAAGTAAAGGGGGTCTACACATCTACAGCGTAGGCTAGCGGTTACGTAGAGGCGCTAGGTTTTGCTTAGATTAGTAAAGTATGGTTAGGTTTTGGCTAGGGGTGTGAGGCAGGCATTAAAATACGGAATTTTTACAAGGACACACTTTGCCTTCAGAGACGTATTTTTGGTATACATGCGCAGACTCACGAGAACGATTGGCGAAGCCACAAGTTTAGCGTCGAAGACGCGAGCTTTTAAGGGGGTCTCTGAAATGGCATTTCCAGTGTTCTGAGAACAGAATTTGGAAAATATTGGCCATTTTGCGTAGATTACATTAATATATTTTCTGTTTAATATATTTTCAAGTACACACTTTTCAATTTACAAGGGCACATTCGCCTTTTACAAGGACACAAAGTGTGTACAAGGACACGCTATTTTAATGCCTGGGGTGAGGTCATGGTTACGTTTCGTTTAGGTTAAACAGAGGTTGGGTTCTTTTGATGCAAGACAGGAAAAAATAATTTTCTTCCTGGGATCACAACCTGGAGACAAAATTTTCCTGCAGAGCAACGGAGTATTTTTGTGCTAAATCTGCATGTGCGTAAACATATAGTGTTCTAGCTGACCACGGTTTTAAATTCAAGGAATAATGTCCGTCCACCATATGTTGTTGCGCCCATAGTGAGACATGGGTTTTAAGGTCCCCTTCAAATTTTTAATACCAAATCTTCATTCAAACGAATTTTCTGCAGCTATTTAACATTTCCTGCGAGCAGCTCGCGTGCTCGCCTATTTTTTCCACCCCTGTATAATTGATGTTCGATTTAGGTTGTGGTTATGTTGAAGTTAGGCTAAAGTTGAGGTAAGGTTTCCATGGTTGTGTTGCAATTAATATAATTAAGCTTCTATTTCCTCATGTAATACTGACCTCGTTAATCTTGACAATAAAACTATCCATCAAATATCTGTTGAATGACGGGCTATTGAAATGAAATAAAACAACACATGTGATTACACACACGTCATATTGTATAGCCAATATATTCTGCCACTTGTGGAAACATGTACAGTACCTCATTGCAGCGACTATAAATTCCCGGAAAAATTCCTCAGTTTCCGTGAAACCTGGCGAAGGACATGGTCCAGCTGTTGTCGACTGTGGAGCAACAAGTCGCTGTTGAAGTCTGGAATACAAGAAAGAAAAATCACCAAGTCTGCAATATCTCGAGGTTCACGTGCATAAGTACTAATATAGGTACCTGAAAAATTTCTCAGGATTTGATTTGAAAAGATTTCCCACAAATTCCGGCGATTCACCTTCGTTGAAAGTTGGTAGAATATTCTCATAACAGCACATCTGAAAAATAAGAGTTGCGGAAACATCTAAGTGTTAAAAATCTTTTCCAAGTAGTTCAGACACAAACATAAAATAGAGAGATCCAGATTTGGCTTCCACTACCGCTATACCATTAATGGAATATCAGAGACCTTACGATTTTAGGACGGCAACGCGACGGCCAAAACAAACTCCTTCAAATAAATGGTAGTAAAGATAGTTCGTCGTATATTATCAATCGTATGAATTTAATACAGTCTTAGAAGTTGAAGACATGGGTTTTATGGTTGGGAAGAGTTCTCCTGAACCCAGTTTGAAGTTGCACTTGTTGCGGCTTGAAATGCAGCCGTTGTATCAAGACGTGAAAATCTGTGATTTGGCGTTGTGAACAGAGCGAGGACAATGTCTAAATTATTCATATATTGTAATCACTCAATTCTTTTCAATGATCTATTGTATTGGTAGCCGTTGCCGTCGCGTTGCCGTCCTAAAATCGTAAGGTCTCTATCAACCAATCACATGCGTTTGATAGATCCGATTAACCAATCAGACGCGTACTGAGCCAATGAGAGATTGAGAGGTAGTGATACTTCAGTCTCTATTATGACCATACTTCTTCACCTGTATTAACTGGGACTGAAATAATCTCGCAAAATGAGCTTGGTTTGATAGGCCGGGTTTCTGATGAACGACATATCTACATGAACAGAGGAAACTCGCTAAGTCAGTGAAAACGTTGATTTTTTGAAAACATCAAAATTGCAAGTGAATAGAACTTTACCTATTTAAAACTTACCTTATTTTATCTCCTAATTTTTCTTCCAAAGACCACCCAGGCTTGCCGCACTGGTCTTCCCATTCCCGAACTATTTCATAAAATGTATCCCTGTTTTATTGCAGGAGAAATTCTAATCAGACAACTGCGTATTAGGGATCGAACCCCAGTCACTCAGGTGGAAAGACAGTCATGCATTTATGACAACTTCTTAATCAACCTGTATTATCCAAATTACCTTTGTCGTTTAAAACAATGAAAAGCTAGATCTGTTGAAAAGTTGTTACGGTTGTCAAGGCTGGCTTGAAATGGTACGCTGTTTAATGGAGACTTCAACAAAGAATATGGCACCTATAAATTTATGAAGGAAATGTTGACTCATTGCTATATTTAAACCATGCCTACGGTGGGTTGCTGTGACGGTATGGTTATGGTGCGGTTTAGTTAGAATTACAGTGCTGTCGCGTTCTGTTTCAGAACAAGTGTCAAAATGTCATAACTCTCTACCTTGTTTATCGATATAGTTGGATAAATGTTCTTTAATTCTTCATCAAAACTGTTTGAAAATTCAATAATCTGAAACAACAACATCAACGCTTAGAAAATAAAAGATTTTTCTTCTATTTTTATAATATTTTATTGAGTTTCTCACTCATCGGTGAGTGGATTTCCAACAGGTTATATTGCCCAATTGATAGGCGATCCAAGGTACGTACGTTTTTAACTTCCTTATCCCAGAAGACGCAAAAGTCTAACCATTTACTGATGTCAATGTAAAGGTAGCTCTTTCTCCTCAATTATTTTAAGAGCTTGAGTAGAGGTCCGAGCAAGGATTGAACCCGGGTCTCCCAAGGCAACCCAGCTTGGGAGACGAAGGCAAGCTTGGTGAGCACGACACCACATGTGCTGAGAATTTCATGTTAGGAGATGACTTACCCGTGCGTTATCCAGTAGTAATCGTAAGGTCCCTTTGTCCAGCAGTCTGATAATTCTGGAATGAAGATTAATTAAGAAGTTACGACGCATGTGAAGAATTTTAGCTTATCAAATTACAATATGTCGATTCTCAGCATTTCAGCACCCACTACCTTGCCGTGAAGTAAATTGTTAAGCTTGATAGTCATTATACAGTAAATTTCGCAGTACCTGAATAATCTTTGAAGGACAAGGACGGCATAGAACACACAGTTATGAACGCTCTTTAGATACCGCGAACTTGCAGGATCTGCACAAATGGACAGAAAGTTAACGCAAAATGAATAATGGAATGCTGGATACATAATATACAAATTTGGATTTATTTGAATTGATGGGTATAATACGTGATACCGTTTTCTGGATCAGATTTTCCTTCCACGGTTAGAAGCTGAAGAATGAAACACATTTCAACCACAATGTTTGGCACCAAATTTTCTAAAAATCACAGGAAGGATAATGAACGAGTTGGAGCATTTAGATTGACTAACTAATGTACGGATCAGAAAGATGGCCCTGCGCACAGGGAAAGGCATGGCCAAGGTAGGATTTATTGAAAAGAAGTTGTGAGATTATAGGCTGGCGGGCGCCGCGAGGTTCACCGCCGGTTACTTTGTTTAGTACTTGAAATATCAATTCTGCATTCCTTCCTCCACTCTGAGCTTTTAAACAAAGTTATTTTTCCTCAACCTGGTCTACTTTATATCCTGGTTGTTTCCGAAACGACATACTACTTCCTAAAACTGATTTAGTTATTTGCTATCATAAATCTTCAAGTTATCTTGTTGAAGAATGAAAGTAGTGATACATTATAATTTGGTTCCAAAGCTCAGTTGTATTGCTATCTAATCAATATACACTGGTTAATTTGGATTACTTTAAGACTCCCCAGACCACTCCCCACAGGCTACTTTATCAACACAGCCACCTCACCAATCATCTCTGAGATGAGCGGAATCACAGCAATTCCAGGAAAAATAAAAGGCCGGACAAAAGATGAGAAGATAAAATGAAGGAGAACATGAAACTCAGGACGATGACACGTGAGGACATCGATCAATGGCGATCGAATGTCATCTCCAGGCCGTCCTCGTAAAGGTTCTCGCACGAGAAGATATTATTTGCGCTGAAGAAGATCCCAATTACGGATCTAGAGCTTTTACCAAATAAACATGTTTTTTTTTCCACGGAACGAAACACTTAAGAAAATATTTACCTAGAATACAAAATGAGTGAATTTCAGCTAAACGCTGAAGAATATTGCATTCTGTGACCAAGTCCAGTTTTGGTAATATACGCTTGTCAGTACTTGCATTAATACAATTGGCTGTACTACTCTCCGAGATATCTAGAACACTCCGGTCCATGTCACTACAAGAAGAAATATTCACATCTTCTGCATTCTCGCGCTGAGAACGAGCCGGCGTGCGATTTCTCGATCCTTGCTGCATAAAGTCTTCTAGCTTCAACTTTGCAGATGCTTTGCGAGCATTTTTAGGACTGGCTGAGTTGCTGCCGTGTTTGTGTCGTTGTTTCAGTTTGTCTGTTGAGAATGATCGCTCGGATTCAAAGGAATTTTCAAATGTAAAACTGTTGAAGGCATTGGAGGAGTTTCTTCGAGCTCGGGCTGGTGTCGGTGTGATCCGTCGTGTCGGTGTGGAACTTTTCCTATACAAAGTAATAATCTGATATTTTCACCTACAGTACACGCGAAAATCTCACATCTATAGAAAGTTAAGTCTGCCAACAAACCGTCAACAAGTTGTGCTCGCACTGCTTGTCCCAAGTTGTCAACAAGTATGGAACAACTTGTTAACAACCTTATTGATATTACTGTACTTGTTGCAAGGTTGTTCCAACAAGCCTTATCCAGTCATGATATAACAATATTGTTACAACCTTGTGTTGTCGACTTTGCAACATTCTTGTTATATCACAACTGTAACCTTGTAACAAGTCTGATAATGCCATCATTCTTGTTACAAGTTGTTAACAGCTCGAAAGCTTGTCGAAAGCTTGTGAACAGACTTGTTACCACTTGTTTGCAGACCTGTAACAACTTGTGTGTTTTTACGTGTGTAACTGTGTGATATGCAATTTGCATGCCTGAGTAACACATGAGAATAACAGGGTTCCTCTGGGTGGAGCTTTTATCTGGTGGTTTCTTCATGTAGAGGTTCACTTTAGGGAGATCAGAACTTTTAGAACTGATAGTTATCCAGTAGAAATGTTACTTATAAGAGGGGGTGTAGTATGCTCCTGCAATCCTCCCCGTGTGAGTGAAAAGCGGTGAGGGGAACCTCCCCTGTTGTTTAGGCAACTGCTGCTGAAAGACTTTACCCACCTTGCAGAAATATTCTGTGAGCTGACAGGTGGAAAATCCTCATCTAGATTAAATTTGACAGGTGTTGACGTCACATGTAACACCTTGCTTCTCTCGCTACCATCCGATGAATTTCCTGAATGATGATTGGCCACAGGAGAGTCATTTATAGTTGGTGATTCCTTGACTTTCCTCGACTGCACCCTCCCAATTGGACTCAGAGTCACATTAACCCCTTTCCCTGACGGGGGAGTTGAGAACAAGCTGCCCCTTGCGCTGCTCTTTGTTGAGTCATTACTTGTGTCGGATGTGGGTGTACGATTTCTGGGGAGCCTTCGTTTCTTCTTAATCTTCTTGGGAGAAATGACAGGAAGGTCCAACGTGAAGTGGCACGAGGATTCCTCGCGTATGTAGTTCAGAAAGTAGGGGATAAATTCTGTCGTTTTAAAACTTGCTTGGCTAAGATCGTCATTATTCCACAAATGCTGAAATATTTTAGAAATTGTACATTTATAAATATCACGATTTTGGATATCTCACTTGATAGAATCAAATTGTTGAAGGAATTTGTAGATGGAATTTCGAGTACATGTTACAAAAATACAACTATAGATCATCTGGCAGGAATCAAGCCTGCAGCCCTGCGATTCCAGTGTAGCGCTCTAACCAACTGAGTTACAGAGTCCACTTGTTGAACTCTAACTGCAAACTGGACTCTGTAGCTCAGTTAGAGTGCTGTACTGGAAGAGAGCCTATAGTTGCATTTTTCATAAGGCCAAATAAAAAAAATACTTGGTTAGCGTCACTCTCACAAATTTTCAGAGGCGGGCGGGCGGTTTTTTTAAAATTTTTACTCGTTTTTAAATTTTTTAATAGTATTTTTTGGGGGGATGGGGGCAGTTTTTCCACCATATCGGTGATATTTTTTGTACTGATGCAAAGGCCGCCATGTTGCTTTAAGAACCTTGTATACCCAAGCCTATGCGCTCCTATCGATCAGTATATAGCGCGTCTGAACATGAGAAAAATTTCAAATATTAAACTGTTTTAATTAAGCTGTAAAACGAAGAGATTTACATAAAAAAAGAGGCGGCAGAAAATCGAGAGGCAGGCGGTGACGCTAACCAAGTTTTTTTTTTTTTTATTTGGCCTAACCGCTCCTGTTAGGTCTAATAAATGCATATAATTCACATTCAAAATTCCAATCTACAAATATCTTCAACAGTATACTGTAATACTGGTAAAATTTATGCAGAAATGTTTGTGATGTTACTCCAAGACTCTTGAGTGTATATATCCACACCGGGCAAGCTTGAAAAATATTAAAATATGCCTGGCCATGGTGGGAATCAAACCTACGACCTTTGGAATACTAGCATACCAACTAGGCATATTTTTCAAGCTTGCCCGGTGTGGATATACACTCAGAGTAACATCACAAACATCATATTCACCTGAGTACATTACACCAACACAGAAAAAAATTATGCAGAAATATTTATGATTATAAACCACAAGCAATAAACTCACCTGCAATTTTCCATTAGACAAATGTTTCTTAATAACTTCAACATCTAGATTGCCTTCAACAAGCTGCTTTAAAATATTTGCCATTTCACACCGTACATGATCAAAAATTGCTTGATCAATATTGTATGATCGATACAGTATCTAACTATATTAAAATATCTACTAGATCATAATAATTCAATCATAATAAACATATACACCTCAATATTTTAAAATTAATAAAAGACCCTTTCATACCACAAATGAAATGATAAAACCTTAGCAAAAATCAGCACAAAAAAACTTGATTTCAAAATGTAAACATAAACAATAAATTCAAGTGGGCCGCCATTAGCCACGTGGTCAATTTAAACCCTTAAAAGCAGGTTACGCGGGCTTGCGCGGGAACATATTCACAGAATTTCGAAAGAAACGAGTCAGAAATTGAGCATCATGTCTAAAAGAGCGTTTCCTTTCAACAGTTGCGCACCATTGCAACTCAAGACTCACGTGGAAAACAAACATGTGAACAATGACGAAGCCAGCATGCAGAAGATTTATGGTAAAGTATACATTTTTGTTGCATTATCATAATCATTCTAAATTGTTTATTTTTATATAGTACAAAATGCTTAGGATAAAAGTAAATTTTAAAGTAGGGGAATAAAGTAATCGAATGAATTAACTGGAAATTACAAATGCCAAATATGTTGATTTCATGGCAGCCATCTTGGACTTGAAATTCTGCACATCCCCCCTGGAAATTCATATCCATGTGTAAGACTAATAATTGTCCAAGGGGGAAAACGGGGGGGTGTGTAATGGTGCTCATCCTGAATCTACAAATCTTGGTCACCATAGAAAAGTTAGGAGTCACCCCATGGAAATTCACCACCTACCATCCACCCAGGAAATTGGTGCTACCAAGGGAGGGTTAACCTGTTTACTGACAGTACTCTACCACTGAAGAGTAAATACTAAAGTAGGGCACATTGCCAGTCAATGGGTTAATAAGAGACATTAGCAGATCGGTTTGTTAACCCATTTACTGGTAGTACTCTACCACTGATGAGTAAAATCGTGTGGCGTTAGAAAGAGTAAATACTAAAGTAGGGCGCATTGCCAGTCAACGGGTTGAAATATTCTGATTACAGTAACATTTACCAGGACATCCATTGGAGGAGGGTTAATTTCCCATATTCTCCATAAGGAAGAGTGGCTTTTCTATGCTTTTTTCTGAAATCACCAAATTCTTACTTTCCAGCTAAAACACAAAGTATTCTGAAAGCTGGAGCCAAGGCTCAGAGTGAAAAAGCATCAGCGGAGGAGAACAATGTTCCGAGCACAAACATTTGTGAGAACTGCAAGAAAACAAGTAAATCAGTGCAGCTTGCAAGGTGTTCTTTTTGTGACAAGACAGTCTGCGTCTATTGCTTTAACGTTTGCTACAAATGCGAACAGAATTTTTGCCCACTTTGTTCAGTTATAAGGTATTATTTTTTTATTCATTGTTGGGTAGTTTGTTTTACCATAAAACATTAATCTCATTTTTCTACAATTTCTATAGTTACGATGATCGTGTGGAAAAATCCTACTGTTTGTCATGTATTGGTTCATAACTCCAATATAAATAATTTATTTGAATGTAATATGAATATATGTATAAATATTTATTTAGGTATATTATAAATATGTCAGATACACTTGTATCTATATATCACTATGTCAGTGATAATACATGACCCTTTTTGTAAATTTTGTAAAAAAAAAATGAAAACAGTTTATCATTAAAACCTATTTTGTTATTTCAGCATTCTGTTTATTAATGTGCCCCGGCATCCTTTAATCATTGTAAATAATAATAATAATACATGTCAGTAAGTCATAGACATCTTGGACTCGATAATTTAATAGCAATATTACATTTAAAAATATAAAAAAATCCAGAGAAATTTGAACAAGTTTACAATATTTCAATACAAACTGTGCATCCAAATTTAAATATATATATATATAAGTTAACAACCTTTGCATTCATTTGCTGAGAACTAACAGTTACACTGTATTGCAGTCATCTTTTTTGTTCATTCATTGTGAAACGAAATCACATTTTAGTTGTTATTTACAAGTAACAAAGTCTGTGTATTAATTTCAATATTGTAAAATTAAGTGCATTAATTGGTTTCTGCCATGATTAGAGACGAAACAGTGAAGAATGTCACACTGGCATCGCTGCAAAAAGACTTCCTGTAGCGATACTATTACTCATGCTTCTGTCCAGACGAGGTCTCTTTGGATTCGGTGGTTCTGATAACGACACGGAGCGTTGTAGTTTCTATAGAAAAAAAGAATGTTTTAATAAAAAATACACTGAAGCCTTTGGATGTCAGTAATCAGTCAGTGATAAGATATTTTGTAAGATATCTAAAACAATGCTGTTCCATCGTTTGTCAGTTATCAGCTCAGATATTTTGTAAGATGTCCGTTCCAAACATAGATATCATTACTGTTCCGTCATTTGTCAACTATCAGTTAAGGTCGTTAACATATTTTGTAAGATGTCAAAAACAATGCTGTTCCATCGTTTATCAGCTCAGATATTTTGTAAGATGTCCGTTCCAAATTACTGGTTCCATCATTTGTCAGCTATCAGCTAAGGTCGTTAAGATCTTTTGTAAGATATCAAAAACAATGCTGTTCTATCGTTTGTCAGCTATCAGATCAGTTAAGATATTTTGTAAGATGTCAGTTCCAAATTACTAGTTCCGTTAGCTATCGGTTAAGGTCGTTAACATATTTTGTAAGATGTCAAAAACAATGCTGTTCTATCGTTTATCAGCTATCAGCTACGATATTTTGTAAGATGTCAATTCCAAATTACTAGTTCCGTCATTTGTCAGCTATCGGTTAAGGTCGTTAAGATATTTTCTAAGATGTCCGTTCCAAATTACTGTTTCATCATTTGTCAGCTATCAGCTAAGATATTTTGTAAGATGTCAAAACATTACTGTTCTGTCGTTTGTCACCTATCAGTTGAAATATTTTGTCGGTTATCAGTGAAGAACTACCAGCAAATGTAAGTAGTATGTTAACCCATTCAGAACCTCATCGCAATATTACCTGGCCGGAGTTTTCTTTCGCTTTGCTGCTTGGAGATATAGCGTGAAAAACAAATCCTCGTGTTGAATTAATTGTTTTTTTCATCGCGGTGATGGAAGATAGTCGCGACATCTGATCTTTACTTCGGTTTAAGAATGACCCTCGTTTCTACATGTACGATAAAATAACAACTGAAGATACTTTTCAACAAATTTTTGGCCATAACACAGTGTGTCAATTCTGCACACGTAAAAACGTACAAGTTGTTACAGGTCTGCAAACAAGTTGTTACAAATCTGTTCGCAAGTTGTGTTCGCACTGCTTATTGTTGTAACAAGTTTGGAACAAGCTGTTAATTGACAACTTGTAACAAGCTTGATGGCATTATAAGACTTGTTACCAGGCTGATCCGACGAGTCTAGACAGTCATGATGTAACAAGAATGTTACAAGGTTGACGACACAAGGTTGTAACAATATTCTTATATCACGACTGTATCGAACTTATTGACTTGAAACAAGTCTGATAATATCAACAACTAAGTTTGTTACAAACAGTGCGAATACAACTTGTTGACGGCTTGTTGGCAGAATTGCTGGCCATTACTACAAGATGTGAGATATGTCAAAGAGAGGAGTTTTATATTAGGTATCTTACCTAACACGCTCAAGGCAGTATCTAATGGCAAAATTTATAGCGTATACCTGAGATAGTTTTGTTGACGTCGAATCCTGTCTTTTAGGAGCAGGCATTTCGGATTTTTCTGTGATTCCATCTAATGAAGTAAAGGGTTGCACAAAACGCAATTACATTTCATAACAAAAACCGAACAAGCTTGCATTCATTGTTTACGCATTACTGCACGTCAACGAACTCCATCCTACTAACCTGCCGCTGCATTGCTCGTGTCTTTTATGAGATTTAAGATATTTTGGCTGTTTTCATCAACATCTGCTGGTTGCGAGTCACCTTCACGAGACAACTGTAAACAAGAATACTGGTTTTAATTGTTGGTAATAGTGACAAGGAAACTTTACCAGGACTTCTCTGAAAATCACTGTTGTGAGAGATTGCTCCTGCAGCAGATTAGCTATTTGCAAAAAAGATTATAAACATTCATTCATGATGATGGTAGTGGTGATAATTATGATAATAATCGTCATGGTGATATAGTAAGCCCTATATTCCCGAGTATATTACCTGTTCTTGTAAAAACTGATCCCTCTCATGTTTCATTTTTCTTCTCTCGAGTTCAGCTTCCGACAACAACGCACTGTCGACGATCTCATCATCGCCCCACAGTAGTTTATTATCAAGTTGTGAATCCTCTAGACCTTGCCACTTGAAGTTCCTCGCACGACCTCCGCCCTCGGAGTAAAGATCGCCGTCTTCCAGATATCTTTCTTTGAGCTCGCGTAATTCCCGTTTGTCTTCATCTATCACCGATTTCCTGTACACAGTGTGATAACAAATATTGTGACACACTTCGTTTTGAGAGAATATCTTGCCTATTTAGTCGGGGGTGAAAATTTAAACCTGAACAATCTTCGGGTCGACCAAAACATCAGGTCTTATTACCGGATATACTCAACTCATTTTACTTACACTGGATAAATCTATCAGTCCTAAACTGTTCTCCCCAGGGGTGGAAAAAACATTTTACTTTCCGGAACCGCAAGGGAACATTGAAATTTTTCTGCAAATAATCCATTAAACCGACACTCCGTGCATTGAGAATCTTAAGAATACTTTTTGGAATAACATAATAAATAATGTAACAATAATATAACATAATAATAATAAATTAATATAACGTAAAACTAATTTAGATGACAAGCATCAAGGATCTGATCCTAATGCCAAAACAGGGTACAAATGCCAAAACAGGGTACTACTAGGGGGCACTATCAGGGGGATCCATTCTCAAGTGTACCGGATTGGCTAAAAATACATTTGCCATAAAATTTGATACATCATTTTATAGTCTGATACATTTATACACACTCACACTATTAAAATAGATTCACTTACACTTGCATTTCTGAGCTCATATCTACAGTACAGCTAACATTCTTTCTATTGGTTAGAATTTTTCCTCTGAATTTCTCCTTTTTAACTAAATTATTAGAACTATCTTTTCTTTCTTTCTTGGGGAAATATTTTCTGGGAACTCAAAAAAATTGTCTGGGAACAATCCGTGCTGCAATACTTTTTCCATCCCTGGTTCTCCCAAATGGTCCTAATCCTACGACTGGTTTCCAGGTACTTACAGATGAACTTTGTTAACTTGTCGTTGTAGTTCTTCATCAGACGGAAGATCTTCGCAATCCGATTCTTCTTCGAGTTCATCGTCTCCAGACCCCTCCTCTTCATCCGAGCTTGCGTCACTTCCGGAAAGCTCTGCTTCTTCATCCACGAAATTATCTTTGTTGAAAATGGAACTAAAAAAAAACAATGCATATTGATGTTTTGTATACAGGCTTTGTTTAAGGCGAGCTGTTTTCAGATCGTGTGTGAAGAAAAGATAGATTGTACAAATAGGGACCATCTTGTTAAGACGAATTTTTTGTCTACTCCCGACGAATCATCCGTGAAGACGTACTACGCACGCATATCCATCAGTGTATTGAAAATACGGTATTAGACGAAGTGGAAATATCAGACATGGTTTTGTTCCAGAGGCTGAAAAAACGGTCGGACATTTTCTGACCAAATTACAGTTTTTCCGACCAGAAGCTAAATTCGTCAGACATTTTGTCCGGATAGTTTTCTTGAAAGAATGAGTTCACCAAAGATCGCGTATGATCGGCCCACAATTGTTAAATTCGGTAGCATTTAACTATATTGCGTAGTGTTTGGCATAAAGTATTATTTGTTGATACAATGGTCGGGAGGCAAAATGATATCGAAAAAAAAAGGTCGGACCGAATTTGTCGCTTGTGTATGTAGTTCATTTTGTGTTCACACTAAAACGGACGGATGATATATAACACGATCAATGATAATAGAATATTCGGTATACCGGTTTATCGGCATGGTTTTTTCAGTCATACCGATATACTGAAATGTCGGAATCATAGCACTCATGTAAGGAAGCAAAAAACTTTAAAAATCTTATGTTTTGTCATATGTGTTGAAGATTACCACAAACAGACAAACTGATACAAACACAGTTTTTAATCCAGTCCCCCTCGGCAATCTGACGTCCATGTTGACAAAAACGTCGTTTGCTTGCACTCTCTAATTACTCTCATTAACCATTATTATTTATTTATTTATTTAGCTTTGCCAACTAGGGCAGGGTCACCACAACAGCATATGCCAATTACTGTGGGCCCTTTTTTACCTAACCCACCCTTGTCAACTTTCCCTGTGGGAGGAAACCGGAGTACCCGGGGAAAACCCACGGCTTTCGGCAGAGCGTTGACTTTTGCTCTTTTCACATGGGGACTGGGTTCGAGTCGCACTGAGAAGGTACTTAGTGAGACTCGAACCTGCGGCCTCAGAGGTGAAAGGCAAGTGCGCTAACCACTTGGCCACCGAAGCCCCTAAACCTAAGCCACCTAAGCCCATTATCGTTTAACACAGACACTCACTGCACTTTCTTGCCGTATGTAATGCCATATTTCTTCGACTTTTTCATCTCATCCTCGTCCATCATCTCATCATCCGCGTCCGCTTCTCTTTCGTCATCACTGAACACCTCATCCTCGGAATTATCTTGGACAGCAGAATCCTTTTCAGTGTCGGAATTCTCCAATTCGATATCGGAATCTTCGTTCTCGGCAGTTTTGCTGTTTTCCGACTCATCCTCCTTTGACTTTTGAGTACCAGGAAATTTACCTGCAAATTGTGGAAATGTAAAACATAATTATTGCCTTATGGTTGACAGCGGTTAATGCATGTGCCTTCCACCTCGTGTGACAGAGATTCAATTCCTTCAATATGTATACCGTTATCTGATTAAAATTTGAAATAACTCACTCTAGAGCGCATGATCATCCCGGTAGCTAGATTGTGGTGATGGTAATGATGATGGTAATGGTATAGTGATGATGATGGTACTGTAATGGTGGTGGAGATAGTGATGGTGGTAATGAATAATGATAATGTTGATGATGGTAATTATGATGGTGTTTATGATAGTAATGATGGTTTTGATGATGGTAATGATAATTTTGATGATAGTAATGATCGTTTTGATGATGGTAATTATGATGTTGATGATGGTAATTATGATGTTGATGATGGTAATTATGTTGATGATGGTAATTATGATGTTGATGATGGTAATGATGATGTTTATGATAGTAATGATGGTTTTGATGATGGTAATGATGATGCTGATGATGGTAATTATGATGTTGATGATGGTAATTATGATGTTGATGATGGTAATTATGATGTTGATGATGGTAATTATGATGTTGATGATGGTAATTATGATGTTGATGATGGTAATTATGATGTTGATGATGGTAATTATGATGATGATGATGATGGTGTTTATGATACTAATGATGGTTTTGATGATGGTAATTATGATGTTGATGATGGTAAAGATAATGTTGATGATGGTAATTATGATGTTGATTATGGTAATTATGATGTTGATGATGGTAATTATGATGTTGATGATGGTAATGATGATGGTGTTTATGATAGTAATGATGGTGTTGATGATGGTAATTATGACGTTGATGATGGTAATTATGATGTTGATGATGGTAATGATGATGGTGTTTATGATAGTAATGATGGTTTTGATGATAGTAATGATGATGTTGATGATGGTAATTATGATGTTGATGATGGTAATGATGATGGTGTTTATGATAGTAATGATGGTTTTGATGATAGTAATGATGATGTTGATGATGGTAATTATGATGTTGATGATGGTAATGATGATGGTGTTTATGATAGTAATGATGGTTTTGATGATAGTAATGATGATGTTGATGATGGTAATTATGATGTTGATGATGGTAATGATGATGGTGTTTATGATAGTAATGATGGTTTTGATGATAGTAATGATGATGTTGATGATGGTAATTATGATGTTGATGATGGTAATGATGATGGTGTTTATGATAGTAATGATGGTTTTGATGATAGTAATGATGATGTTGATGATGGTAATTATGATGTTGATGATGGTAATGATGATGGTGTTTATGATAGTAATGATGGTTTTGATGATAGTAATGATGATGTTGATGATGGTAATTATGATGTTGATGATGGTAATGATGATGGTGTTTATGATAGTAATGATGGTTTTGATGATAGTAATGATGATATTATGATG